AGACATATCCATCTTCTCAAGCTCTTGAAACTTTAAAGGAAACAAGCACTTCCTAATTTATTGTGCCTAAAAATATCCCTCCATTATCCCTCTTTGCCTTTTCCCCCTATTGATTGGCCTTTCCCCCTGAAGGTAACTTGTCCTGGGTCTAACCCAGTGATTGCCAGTTACAGCGGAGACGTTTTCACCCACTTGCCAGGGAAGGAGAAAAGTAGCTCAATGGAGGGCAGTGTTTGTACAGCTGTGTGTTGTCACAGTAGAGAAATCTCCTTTAGCGTGTGGCCAGGCAGCCCTCCCCCTGCGATGTTAAAGGAGCCTGCCTTCCGCGAGACGGCTCCGATGGCCCCAGCAGCCCCAGCAGCCCGGGCTGCTGGGGGGCGGGGGGAGGGCCCGCTGCTGCGCCTGATTCATCGGCCGCTGGAGGCCGTGCAGCTGTCACGCACCTCTGTTGACTGTGGGATGCGGCACGTAATTTATTTCTCCTAGTAGTGTGCACCTTCACCTTTTAAGACTAAAATACAATGAATTTGCTTGAATTTAACAGTCATCAACGGTCAGAATGGAGATACAGCTTTGCACCGTGGCTGCTGATGCACACATCAGCCTAGGTCGGAGCCGTCGCTGTTCCCAGGTGTTTAAGAATTCGCAGTCGGACACGCTTAGTTGCTGCACATCCTGTGTGCTGTGTGAACTTCGCAGATTCTCATACGGAAACTGTGGATCTCTGGTAGTTCTCTGCACTTGTAGGCGGCGGGAGGGTGGCGGGGCTCAGGCCTGTGGCGAAGCCAAGCTGAGAGGCAGGCCTCTGCAGGTGCGTCAGCTGACTGTGCCACAGAGCTGGCCTCCCGCCGGAGGGGCCTCGAGAGGGCCACTGCCTGTTCTGGCTGTGGGGTTGCTTATTTTTAAATGGACATTGGTTTTTCTGAAGCTGGATATGAACGCGCATTTTAGTGCTGGAAAACCAGGAGGCTAAACGAGAAACCCAGGCCAGGAGTTAGTTTTATTTTACACACCAGAACCTGTGAATTGTAGATTTTAATTCACATACTGAGTTAGCCAAAAAGGTTGGTGGTTTTCCCAATGATGGCGCTAGTAACACTTAGTTATCTTTACTTCAGTCAAGGCAATTTTGTTAGATTGTATTGTGACAGCTGTCATATCAGCGTGTATTTAGAAAAAAACTTACCCAAATTGGTAATTTTTGTGCAGACATTTTACTATTGAAAATGGATGAAAATAAGCAACATTATTGGCATGTTATGCTTTACTATTTCAAGAAAGGTAAAAATGCAGTAGAAACACAAAAGCTCTGTGCGGTGTGTGGAGAAGGTGCTGTAACTGATTGAATGTGTCAAAAGTGGTTTGCGAAGGTTCATGCTAGAGATTGCTTGCTGGACAATGCTCTGCGGTTGGGTAAACCCGCTGGGGTTGACAGAGACCTAATCTAGACATGGAACGATAAACATTGTACCATGAGGGAGATAGCCAGTATACTCAAAATATCTAACTAAGTTATTGGTGAAAATGAAAAATGTGTCTTTGATTTTATGGACAAAAGTAAACAGACTTTTTGGCCAGCCCAGTACAGTGCTGGGTAAGTTCAAGGCGAATGACATGATGTTCAGTTCACTTACACACCGTGAAGTGATTACCACAGTGGGGTCGGCGAAAATTCCACCCTCTCCGATAATCACCACTGCTTTTCTGGGCTGAGAACGTGTAAGGTTGACCCTCTCAGCAATTTCCGAGCGTGTGGCATGGCTTTGTTAACTGCAGTCACCGTGCCGCGCGGCGGAGCTGCAGAACCGGCCCGCCTCGGAGCTGGCAGCGTGCGCTCGGCCGCCGCCACGCGCTCTGCGTGCCCGACTCTTTCAGACCTCATGTGTGTATGGGAGTGGTGCTGTGCAGGGTTTGTCTGTGGTTCACTGCACTCAGCTGAGTGTCCTCCAGGCCCCTCTGCCTTGTCGTGCACGGCAGGGTTTCCTTCTCAGGGCTGAACGATGCCCGCCCGCCTGCCTGCCTCGTGTCTGTATCTTCACCTGGGGGCGGGGCGGGTCTTAGGCTGTCGCTGTATCTTGGCTGCTGTGAACATGTGGCAGTGATGCGGGGGTGGGCGGATGTCTCTCTGATGTCGTTTTCTTTGGGGAAACACTCAGAAGTGGGATTGCCGGATGATACGGTAGTTCTATTTTTCACTTTTGAGGAACATCCATGCTGTTTTCCACAGTGGCTGAGCCTGTTTACATTCCTGCACGCGGCACACGGGACTCCCTGTTCTCCGTGTCTTTGTCCGCACTGGTTGCCTCTCGCTTTTTGGTAACAGCCGTCCTAACAGGTGCAGGGTGGGTGCTCCGCGCGGTTTACAGTTGCATTTCCCTGATGAGCAGTGATGGTCAGCGCCTCTTCGTGCCCCTGTCGACCGTCCGTGTGTCTCCTCTGGAAGCTGTCTGTTTAGGTCCTCCGCCCATCGTACAACCAGAGGATGTATTCTGTGGCTGTTGAGTTGCGGGGTTCTTTACGTAGTTTGAGAATTAACCGCTTCTCGGTACAAGGTTTGCAAATACTTTTTCCCATTCCGTAGGCTGCCTTTTCATTTTGTTGCTTGTTTCCTTGCTGTGAAGAAACCTTTTAGTCTGATGTAGTCTCATTTATTTATTTGTTCTTTTTGCTTTTGCTTTTTACGTTATATCCAAAAAATTGTTGCCAAGACCAATGTCAAGGAGACTTTTCTCTATATTTTTTTCTAGGAATTCTGTGGTTTCAGGTCCTAAGTCTTTAATCCATTTTGAGTTCATTTTTGTTGTGTCCCCCTGAACTGACCCCTTTTCCACGTTGAATGATCTTTGTCTTTTGTTACAGCTTTTGTGTTGACGTCTGCTCCATCTGACAGAAGGGTGGCCGGAGATGCACACGCGTGCCCTCCCTCGGTTTCCCCGTGTGTGGCCGTGTCTCCTGCCCTTCCACTCCGAGCCTGTGCGCGCCATCAGAGCTGGAGTGAGCCTTTCATGGGCTGCATATGGTTGGGTCTTGTTTTTTTGTTTTTGTTTTTGTTTTTCCAGTCTTTGAGTCAGTCTAAGCCTTTTGATTGGAGAACTTAATGTTTTTACATTGTGTAATGATGAGAATTAAGGGCTTACGAATGCCATCTTACTGTTTTAGAACTGCTTTGCAGTTCCAGACTTCCTTATTGGAGAGCATTGCCCAGTGTTTTTTCCCTTGATGGCATTAATGTTTTATGGTCAAAGCCAGCTGTTTGAAGAATATTCCTCATTTTGGATTTACCTGATCACATGTTTTCTCGTGACTGGGCTTGGGTTCCGCATTTGTGACCCGAGAGTGCCGAGGTGGTGCCTTGTCACAGAGCACCTGCCACGTCGGGGCGCCTGGTGCTGGCTGGGTTCAGGGGTGCCCCAGGCTTCCCAGTGTGAAGACCGCTCATTTTCTTTGTGAACTGTAAGTGCTCTGGGGCGGGGGGTGGGGTGGGCGCGGTACCTGGAGACCGTGGGTATCCTACTCCTCAGCAGTCTTTCACCTGGTAGTTTATAGCAGTTTAATTTATTGCCATAAGTTCTTCTCAAACTATCATCTGTGTAATCACTGTAATGCATCCATATAGTCTGGATGTAAGTGTAGAATCCCGGGTAATGTGGAATTCAATAACCTCATTCAGCCATTGTTGAGATTCCATTAAAACACACCAGCATTTTAAAATTGTAGGTTAAAATTATAGATTATCATTTCCTGGACCATGCCTCCAGCTCACGAAAGTGCGTTCCATCAAGTTGGAAAAGTAGGAAAAATCACGCAACTGTCGGTCAGCAACCGACTCAGAAGCGGCCTGTAGCCTGAAGGCAGCGCCTGGCCCCGCTCACTCGATGCCAAAGTCCACCAGGCGGCTCGGGGCTGGGGCGCATCCGGCGTGGGGTGCAGTCTTCCTTTATTAAGATGAGGGCTTGTTTTAGAGATGTTAAATGTTCATGGCTGGGGGGATAAGTGAACTAGGCGGAGGTGTGAAGAAATTGCAGAGAAGATTTAGGAAACAGTGATCGCTGAGGATTCTAGAGGTCATTAAAAAATAGAAAGCAAAACTATACATAGAATGCAGAAGCAGTTAGAAAATTTGTGCAACAAACTGACCTCACTAAGTTAACACTCGGGGAAGAAAGATCTAAGTTGCAGCATGCACGTGTGTGTGCAGACACACAACCAGTTGAGTCTCATGCCTTCTCAGGCCTCCGCTCTATGCGAAAGCAAAGTGTAGCCTGTAGTTTTAAAACTTGTAGGACAGCGTGTGTGGATGAAAAAATACACACATAAGGTTAAGTGACTGTCAGATCTGTAGTTAAAATTCTGTAACAAAAAATGATTGTGTGTGTACTCATTTATGATCGGAGAGCCAACACTATGCCCTCCGGGGTCACTGAGAGCAGCTGAGAGAACACAGCGGAGCAGAGCGTGGAGAGGGTGCCAGGGAAGGACACAAAGCAGTTGTGACCCGAGAGTGAAGGACCGTGCGAGCGGCCCCCTGTCTCTGATGGAGGAGGAGAGACCTGGCTGAGAAAAGGACACGTGGGCCAGGAGACCAGGTTTCCTCCGGGGCCGGCAGGAGGCCCGCAGGGCAGGCCGCAGCGTGGGCGCGGCCTGCGGACAAGGACGTCCACGGTGGGCGGGCCCCCGAGGGGCCCAGGCCGAGGAGCGAGCTCGGCGCCCTCCACGCAGGTGAAGAGGGCCCGCCCGACGGCCCCGGCCGCCCCGTGAAGCTGTGCTAGGATGAGGGGGGACAGCGCGGGCCTGCTGTTGGCTTGAGGCCGCAGAGCTGGTGGGGGGCTGAGCCGTCGCGCCCACTCCACCTGGCCCGGCCCGGCCTGGCCTGGCCCGTCTGCACGGGGCACAGTGATGGAAGGCTGTTCAGCTAGCCCAGAAACGCGCGCACCCGTATGACATGGCGCAAAGGAGGGGTGGGAACTCAGGTTTCTGGAGGGTTCAGGGTCTGAACCTACCTTTTCTTCAAAGAATCGTCTCCTGAGCTGGGCATCGGTGGGCGGCAGTGCCCTCCTCAGGTCCTGGTACCACTTTCTGACCGCATGCCCCCGCCAGCAGGCTTGGATCCTGGAACGCGGCGTCCGAGAGCGGCCGTCAGGGCCGGGACAGGGCGGTGGCCTGGCCGCGGCCGCCGCAGGGCCCCGGGCCCGCTCACCTGGTGGCGCACTTGGCTCTGAACAGCCGGGCCCCGTCGCGGATCACGCGGGTTTGGTACTGCCGCTTTCTGCAGAGGGGACAGGTTCTTCGGCCTGTGAACTTCTCCAAGGCCTGCAGGCACGCCTGCAGAGAGACACGGCACTTCCCGCTTCACGAGTGATTACTTACAAACGACACTTTCCCTTCTGAAGTAATTACAGTGTTCTTTTCTCTAATAATTATGAGACAGTCCAATTTAGATCATGAAGAAGTTTCTCATCAGATGCTAACACCTGCCTCACGCAACTTGTTCCAAATGATATTTTACAAGAATATACATGCAGATACATCAAAAACTCCTGCAAACACGTCACGTAAAGGCAGAGGATACCGTGTCCAGGGTGACCCTGTGCCGAGTCACAGGACGCAAACCATCTGTCACTCACTCGGACAGACACTGCTCACAGCTGCTAAACGAGACGTGTGCCTCTTCGGTCACATAAAGGTCATGGTTTTTCTAACCAGGATGAACTGTACTGCCGCCCGGCGTTGCATTTCTAGCTGGAAATGGTGATTGTGGAGGAAACAGGTGGGCCCCGTGGGGAGACTCGGCGAGCAAGGCGAGCCCCGTCCGCCGGAGCCGTGGGTGACGGCCGCGCACGTGAGGGGGAGAGGAGCGGGGTTACTCACCTTGTGGAACACGTGGGAACATGAAAGCAGCACCTGTGCATAGGAAGACAGAAAAATGTTTGAAGTTTAAATTAGTTTAAAAGAGAAGCAGCATAAATGCATTAATTAAAAAAAACATACTGAATGCTTGAAAGTAAGCTGTGTTGTTTCTTGGAAAAATTAAAAAACAAGTTAATAACCTTGATATTTGTAATACTTAGCGTTTCAGTTTAGCGTGGCACAGGTACATAAACTCAGCAGGCAAAGCCAAGCTGAACGTCACATGCACACAGGGGTTTGCTGTGAAGCCACTGGAATGGCTGTCTATTAAAAATGAGACAGTCACCGAGTGGGTGCGTTTCCTGGGCAAGTCTGGCGTGGGAGGGGGCGGGGAGCAGAGACAGATAAGCACATGCATTTTTCAGGGCTTCATTCAACTGCGTTGCACTCTTAAATTTTTAAAAATCAGCTTTACTGAGATGTAATTTTAACACTCAAAGCTACATAGCAATAAATCCTAGATAGATAGGAATCCCGTTTACTTTTTTAAATGCAGGGAAAGTGTAGTCCTAAGAAAAATCTTCCCTTTCTGTGACCCAAATTCCCACGAAATAGTGACGCTATTCGGGGCTGTGACAGGGCAGATGCTTAGACTCAGTATAAGAAAAAGGGGACCGGCTCTTCTGGAAGGGGAGGCAGGGCGGCCTCCGCCGCGGCCCCTCTGGGGCAGAGGCGCCGCTCCAGCGCCCCGGGTGAGGTCTCGGATGCCCGGCCGCCGGGTCTGGCGGGGCTGCCCAGGTGGCGAAGTGATCGCCCTCCTGCCTTCACTCGGTCTATGCTTTCCTCCTTAAATAGAAAGAGTTGGAGTACTGGACTAAATGCAGCTCAGAAGCCCAGAACGTTTCCTTGAAACTCACTGCCAGCAAAAAGCCTAAACTGGAAAGTCTCAGGAATATTGGTCTTTTTAAATTACCACCATTGAATAGAATAATCTGTCTGAGCATTTCATCAACAGATACTTGATCTATATTGAATAACGTTATACTCTGTATATTTAAAATACACGTTTAAATGTTCATAAATATCTGATATTGGCAAACATTCTCTGAGGTAACAAAAATAAATGGTTAGGTGGTAGAGAACGCATGAAAAATGTCCTAGAAGTGAGGATTAGATCCCAGCTGGACCGGAGCATGCTTTTGAGCTGTTCTGCTGTGGGCCACTCCCAATGTTCATTCCAAACGTGTTACGTGGGTGTAACGCCTGCCTGGGACTCAGGAGTGCAAAGCCCTCTGAAGTCAGTAAATGTCAGGAAAATGCCGACTGCTGTGCACAACTAGGGAAAACTTCAATATGAGAACAATAGCAAGAAATGCAAAATGAACACAAGTGTCTGTATCTACAACCAAACAAATACGGTTTAGTGAGAAATCAGTAAGAGAATGGAAGAAATGTGTGTGATGTGTGCTGATCTCTCCCTTTACAATGGATGAGGCGGTTCACAATGTAAGTAGGAAAAGCAGTTAGGCACCTACGAGGGAGCTCCCATGAGACTGTCCGCTGAGTTCTCAACAGAAATGCCGCAAGCCAGCAGGGAGCGGTGTGGGATACTCAGAGTGTGCAAGGACAGACCGACAGCCAAGGCTGCTCGGGCCAGCACAGCTGCCGTTTAGAATCCGAGGACAGAGAAAGAGCTTCCCAGAGAAGGAAAAGCTAATGGAGTTCACCATCAAATGAGCATTACAGGACACGGTAAAGGCGGGGGTCCCCAACCTCCCGGCCGCGGGCCGGTGCCAATCCAGGCCCATTAGGCCCCGGGCCGCCCAGCAGGAGGCGAGCGTGAACGCGGAGCGCCGGGGTCGTGCTGAAACCATCCCTGCCCACTCCGTGGCCCCTGCCAGCCTGTGCAAAAACTGGCTGCCACAGACCCCGTCCCTGGCGCCAGAAAGGTTGGGGACTGCTTGTTAAAGGGTCGTCTTGAAGGAGAAGGAGAAGAAGAAAAATGTGAACAAAATAGCTATAAATACATATCTGTCAATTGAATCTAAAAAAATAAACGAATAAGCAGAAGAGACAGACTGATAGATGCAGAGGACATTTGATGGTTGCCCGATGGGAGCGGAGGTGGGAGGACGGGCAAGAAACGTGAAGGGATTAAGAAGCACGAATTGGGCCCCGGCTGGTGGGGCTCCGTGGACGGAGCGCCAGCCTGCGAACCAAAGGGCCGCCGGTTCGATGCCCAGTTGGGACACAGGCCTGGGTTGCGGGCCAGGTCCCCAGCAGGGGGTGCACGAGAGGCAACCATACATGGATGTTTCCCTTTCTTCCTTTCTCTAAAAACAAGGAAAATTAAAACAGAGACTGCCTTTAAAACACACACGTTCGTTGTAAGGGAACTGGAGCCCCGTGGCCGTCGAGCGCCGCACTGGGAGTGCAGCCAGCGATACTCGAGTCACAGTGCACGGTGCCCGCGGGGCGGCATTTCTCAGGGTCACCGCCCGGTAAGTCATGTGGGCGTCCAGTGACGGGTGTGCACCTGAGGCCCGTGTGGTGTGTGTGAACTGTAACTGAAAAACAAGCGGTTAAAAAAGGAGGTTGCCAGGGCCAGAAGGAAGGCTCCTTGTGGCGTCATGAACTCTCTCGTTACACGGACGCGTTAAATTATCCTACTGGTCACCCTGTGGTTTAGGGGCTAAAGGCCTCCCGACGTGCCCGTTTCCCAGGTGCCCGGTTAGGTCCTGAGAGAGAACTGGAATGCAGTGTGTTTAAGACAAGTTTAAATTCAAACTAGTAAAGAGTTTCATTATGAACTGACTTGGTGACAGTAAAACCTATGGAAACAAACTGGATCGAGGGACCAGGCGGCAGGGCAGCGAGGGGAGCGGGCGCCGCGCGCCCTGCGGCCAGGGCTTCCCGGCGGGCACGCCGGCCGCGCGCTCAGAAGGCAGGCAGCTCGAGGGAAGGCGTGTCCCTCACGCAGGTCGCCGTTGCCGAGGCCAACTGTGTGTTCCAGAAAGCCTGCAACATAGACTGCTTATGTCATCGGTAGCACCCTCAGTCTTATGCGAGAAGTTCATGAATGGAGATTGCGAGGTTTTGCAGAATCTTCCACAAATTGCTGAGAGAGGTGCAAACCCAGTTTTTGTTTGACACTTCAGTTCACAAACAGCCTAAGCATCGCCCCCCGCCCCCACTCCCCGCGCCGGGCCGCGCAGGCCTCTGCGCCCCGCGGCTGCCGCTGCCTGTCCAGGGGGCCCACCCGAGCAGCAGGGCTCGCCCGCCGAGCGGGGATGCTCAGCGCGGGGCTCGGCTCGCCTCGCGCCTGTGCCTTCGGAGGGGGATGTGAGCGTTGGAGGCTCCCAGGAGGAAGAAACGGGGGGAGGGCAGCCTGGAGTGGGCGCTGGCCCCTAACGCCTTGTACGGCGCCCCTGTGAGGGCGGCCTGTGCGGTGTCCTTGGCTGGGACCTCCGGGCGTGCTCACCGGCCGCTCCCACCGCACGCTGGCCACGCACCTGGGGGCGCAGCTGGAACTCCTCCTTGCACACGGGGCAGGGCTGCGTAGAGTCGCCCTGGGAGACGGATCGCTGCCTCGCTTTTTCCCACTCCTCGGATGAGAGCGGCGGCGGGGGCGGCTCGATCAGGCCCAGCTTCTGCGCTAAAGTTAAAACACGCGAGTGAAAGTGCGGCCGGCAGTGCGGGCTCCCACTCAACGGTGGCAGCCTGCACCGCACGGGGTGAAGCGGGCGCATCTGTCGCCACATCTCTCGCCGCACCCCGCCCTGCGGTCATGGCTGGTTCTGACCCCGTGGAAGGTGGTTTCAGGCTGGCCAAGGAGCGGCAGAAGCCGTGGTACGGGATGCACACGGGCCTCCTCCGGCTCCCCAGCCGGCGGGAGGGGCTGGCGCGGGAAACTCGGGTTGCCCTGAGCTGTTCACCTGCTACCGCACGGGCTTCCCTCCTGCCTCGCTCGGCCCCCTTTTCTGAGCCCGGCGCCGCATGGCGCGCGGCTGCCCTTCCTCCTGGTGCAGCTCCTCAGCCTTCGCTTGCTTTTCTGGACGTGGTGCTTTCAGCGAGGGCTGGCGAGGGCTGCAACGGGTGGCCTTCCACTGGGGGCCGGCCGCCGTTCCCGCGGGACCAAACTCGGACGGGCACGGGCGCGGGAAAGCCGCCGCAGGGCCACGGCGCCCTCCCCGGGCGCGGAGCAGGGGGCGCCGTGGGGCGGTGCTTGGGGGCCCTCGGTGCAGTGCCGCCGCCCGTGTGGCCGGTTCAGCGGCGGGGTGCCGCTGCGCGGGTGGGGACGAGGGGAGGTGCGGGGGGACCGCGTCTCAGCGCGAGTCCGCCCGGCGTGTTCCCACTGCGCTGCCGTCCGAGAGGCGGCTTTCCGTTTCTAGCACCTCTGCTTTGTTGGTGTCGTTCTGCTGTGGGGAAGAGCTTTCTCTTTCCGTTCTTCCTGCACTAATTTATAGCAGCAGGGATGAACGGATATTTGCTTTATTCTACTTATTACTGTCTTGTTTACTTGCCTAAATTGTCCTCATTTTTAAATGAGCACATACATATCTTTCTGTAAGATTACAAATTATTCCTGTCCAAGAAAAATTACACTGTTGATCACAACCAAATTCTTTGTCTTGAATAAACCCAACTAGGAAACACGAGATCAGCTTACCTAAAGTTAGGGGTGGCGGTTTGGGGTCAAGGACATACTCTTTTTCCGGGTCAGCCTCTTTGGGGCCTTGAGTCGTCTTTGGAAGCCCTGTGTCTATTGCAGCTTTCGTGTTTCTTTTTAGAGATTTGGATGTGTTCTCTCGCTTCTGTGTCTTGGTCTTGGAATGACCGGCTTCTGAAGGATTCCGTAGTTGAAGGTCATGCAAAATGTGGTCTTGTAAAGCAACCGCAGTGACTGCCAGGTTACCTCGTTTAGGTGAGTGACCCTGGAACAGCGGCACATACACAACATTACCTAACGTGTCACTTAGCAGGAAAGCGGAGCTGTGATCCCCAGCCCTGAACGCGCACCGGGCCGAGCCTGACAGCGAGGAACACGCGGCCCCTGGGCTGCTGCGCGGGAGCTGATCGTCTCCTCGTTTACGGTAATGACACGGTAATAGCTTTTCATTTGATCGCCGAGGCCTCTAATTACAATATGAATAAATTCATTATGGCCTATAAAGGATGTGCGTGCCCGAACACACTCTCTCTCACTCTAATTAAATTAGACTGCAGGGGAGTCTTGCTTCCGCTCTACTGAAGAGGCCCTTTTTCGGTGACAGTCACAGGGAAGAAGATTGCCGTGCAGCCCCGAGGCCCGGCGCCAGCGCTCGGGCGGCCGTTACTCCCTCGAGCAAGGCCCGCCCCCCCTTCCGCGCTGGCACAGCCGAGCTGAAACAGACCAGTGGCTGAGCCCGCGTCTGTGTTTCTGAAGAGAGCCGTGTACCTTATCTTTAAACATGCCAAACCGGGGAGCGTGGTCGCCTGCCTGGCGCTCTCACGTTACGTCATCACCTGGCGCTCCTTTCGTTCTGAAAAACACAGGCAACAGACGGGCAGTGTGAGACGCACCTGAAGATGAGAACCACCCGGTGCTCAGCGGGAGGGTGTGCTCCAGGCGCGCGAGAAGCCCGGGCCCAAGTGCCCGGGAGGCTGAGCGGAACCTGCCCTCCCGAGGCGACAGTCCCCCGGCGTGGGAGGGACAGAGGGACACCAGCACCTACACTACCGGCCGCGGCACAGGCTCCCCCGGGGCCCAGCCGGGCGATCGCTTCCAGGAGGCAGAGTGGAGGCGGAGGGACGCGGCGGCTTCCCTCCGTCCACAACACACACGGCGCGGCCACAGTCGGGGTGCGCCCTTGCTCTGCCTGTTCGGCAGGCACTCGACGCCCGTGAGTCTCAGTGTCCTCACCCTACAACGCGTAATGGCGCAGACACACCTTCGGGGGCTGCTGTTAGGGTTCAGTGAGACGATCTTTCCCACGTATCTTCCGCGGGCGTCTCCCACGGAAGATACTCTGTATGTGGTTGTTACTGCTCCATTTTCCTGCCGGGAAAACCTGGAATTGGCCCTTTGGCTTTTGGACAAGAGTCTAGACGGTTCTGGAATGGGCAGAACGGCGAGTCGTCGCCCAGTCTGGGGAATCGCGTGGAGATAGTAATAGGGCCGAAGTGCGAGAGTGGAAGCGAATGGACCCGAGCGAGGGTCTGAGGACGGACCCGCCGCCGAGGAGCGAGGGCGGAGAGGGCCGGCGGCCTGAGCTCCGGCGTGAGGCTGCCCGAGCGGCTCGTCCTCTTCAGCGCCGGACCGAGGGGCGCGGCGGGGGGGGGGGGGGGGGCGGCGGCAGTTCTGTCGCGACGGCCACTCATCGTGACAGCGAGGTGGGAGGACTGGAGCTGGCCCAGTGCTCACGGACCTCGACCAGGGTTTTCCGCTGCGCGGAGTCACCCAATATCAGAGGGGGACTTTTCCCCGCTTTACAGTGAGGAGGCTGGCGCAGCGATCAGGCGACTCCGGGCAGGTGGCTAGTCTGGGGTGAGGGCGGGGATGGGGACGAGACCGAGTCCCGTGTCAGGAGCTGGCATCAGTGGGCATGTTCTGTGCCAACTCCGGTGTTCACTACTGGGTGAAAGAGGTGGGGCTTGGCGACAGGAAGTACCCTACGGGGCCAGAGCAGGTGGCTCCCAGTTTGCCTAAGCAACTGTAGGCTAACGGACCATGCAGGCTGATTGCACGCGCGCGCACGTGACGCGCACACGTGGCTGTGGGCCGCAGGCGGCAGCCGACCTCGCCGCCCAGAGCTCTTGAGCTCCGGGGTGGCCCGCTGTAGGCAACGGCACCCCGGGGTGCCTGCAGTCGCGGCTGCATAGGCAGAGGCGCAGCGGTGCGGAGCCGCGCGGTGCCAGAGCTCGGCCGCACCGTCTGACTCGGCCTGGCCAGTGCCCGCTGGCGTTGGGCCTTGGAAGTCACCAACTTCCGACTGTGACGTTTTTAGGCCGCAGCAGGCGGGGCCTCGGGTGCCCTTGGGCTGAGGGTCCTCGCAGCCCGGTGGACGTCCGGGGGATGCGCAGGTGGGGGCCCCGGGCCAGCCCCTCCTCCCCACCCTGCTGGGGACAGTCCCTACCCGCTCCTCCGCCCTCGCTTGGCCTCCGCGCACACCCACCACGGCCAGCGCCCTGGACCTCCGTGACCGCTCGCCGTTGCCTGGCAACCACTGCTGCCGCGGTCATACCCCAGCGCGCATGCTCGATGGCCCAGTCATGCACTGCGCGTGGTGACAAGTTCCGGTGGTGGCCTGCGGTCCTGCCGCGCCCCCTTCATGGCTGCGCCGCGCATGCTCGCTAGCCCCGCTAGTCCCAGGGCCGCACCGCGCATGCTTGCACTGGTCTGCGGCTGTGTGGGGGCGGGGCCTTGACTTTTGGGGTCACAGCGTCCGCGTCATCGCTGGCCCCCACCGTGTTCCCTAAAATACTGTGTTTATAGGGGCCCTGCGAGTTTTCTTTCGAGCCTCGTGCTGGACTTCAGTAGCTTCTTGGGTTTGTAGTTTTCAGCACATTTGACAGAATTGCAGACATTTTCTCAAAATTGCCTATCTTTTCTGCCACCCCAACCCTTCTTTGCTCTGGGTTCTGGTTACGTTTATATCGGACTTCTTATACGTATATATACAGACGCCCCAGCACTCTTTTCCAACCTGATGATGGTGCAAAAGCGACGGACATGTGGTAGAAACCAGACTTTTAAGTGTTGAGGTTTGAATTTTTCGCAGGCTGGGGATGCGCAGTAAGATGCTCTCTGTGGCGCTGGGCAGCGACAGGGAGCCGCAGCTCCATCATGAAGTTAGATGCCGGGTACTCTACAGCGTAGTGTTAAAGTGCATTTTCACTTCAGATATGTTCAACTTACGGTGGCTGTATCAGGATGTAAACCCAACGTAAGGCAAGGAGCGTATATGTAGTCTGTCCGAAAAAAGTCCGGCTACTGTTATATAATGTCTTATAATGAGAACAGTTTGAACAACACGGGTATCACCTGGCGGCCAAGGACAGTGGACTGGACTGTGCCGGTGTGAACAATGACAGTGTCCCTGTACCGGTCCGTGGGAGGCAGACGCCGCTGAGTGAGCACGTGCGCTGTGTGGCCGCTGCATTCAAAATGACTGAAGGTGGACAGCAACGAGTCTGCATCCACTTTTGTGTTAAGTTTGAACATTTTCCCATGGAAACCGTTCAGATGACTCAGGCCGCAGCTGTGGGCAGCTGGTGATTGGCAGCTTCATCACGACAATGCACCTGCTTATGCGTCATGTCTTATGCAGAGGTTTTTGGTGAAACACCAAATAACCCACGTGACTCAGTTCCCCTACAGCCCAGATTTGCTGCCCTGTGACTTCTGGCTTCTCCCAAAACTAAAATCACCTTTGAAAGGGAAGAGATTTCCGACCCTCGATGAGATTCAGGAAAATCCAGCAGGGCGGCTGATGGGCTGATGGCAACTGGGAGAACTGTGTGAGGTCCCAGGGCGCCAACTTTGAAGGGGACTGAGGTGTCATTGCCCTGTGTACAATGTTGCTTGTATCTTATATCTTCAATAAATGTCTCCCATTTTTCACAGTACACGGTGGGATCCCTTCCAGACAGACCATTCTGTACACACATACACATGCACTTGCTGATGCTCTGTTCATTTAAAATTTTTTTCCTCTCCTTTTGGACGATTTCTACTGCGAAGTCTGCAAATCTGCTGAGCTCCTGCAGCATCCAGCACCTCCGCCCGTAGCTCCCGCTCAGGCGTGCCCCCGGCCGGGGGACTCGAGAGCGCGCCTCTCCGGCGCCGGCGCCTCCGCCTCTGCGTGCTGCGCCCGCGGCTTATGGGCGGGGGCAGTATTCATACGTTGCGCCTTTCTGTGCTGGTCTTTTATTTCTTTTTAGTAACGGAGTCTTTTTATCGATACCTTGAGAACGTCATCGGTAAGTATCGGGCACAAGAAGGGCCCATTAAACCTGTTTCCCAGGGTGGCCGGGCAGGGCCTCCGGCCGCACCGCTGGTCCTGCAGACGTGGGCCTGTGCCGCCCGGGGCTGAGAGGGTGGCCGGGCCTTTCTACAGCTGTTTCAGAACCCTTGACATACTGATGGGAGAAGATATTTAAACTCATTTTTTTTCGTGTTCTGCTTTTTTGTCTGTCTGGTCATTTTTAATTGGGGTCCAGACATGGTGAATTTTATGTTGCTGGCTTTCTCAGGTTGCTTTAGCGATTGTGAGTTTTGCGTGACACACCTAAGTCACCCGGAAACAGTGTTGCCTTGAGTCCACGCTCCTTTGCTCCCACGACCAAAAGAAAACCCTCGAGTGCTGTACCGACCGTGCTGGCTGCGGCGAGCCGACCATCCCCGTGGCTGCGGCTCGGAGGCTTGCTCCGCCCCCACCTGCGGGGCGGTCCCTCCCGGAGCTCGGGTCAGGCCTGCGGGGGAACCCCTCCGGACCTCGGGGGCGCCCGTCCCCCGGCGCGTTTCCTCCCGGGGTCTGTCCTGGGCCCTGGGATCTCCGGCCTCCGCGCCCTGCGGCCCGCGGGGCTGTGGCCGTGCTGCGGGGACCTGGCTCCCTCCGTGTCCCTTCTCTCGCGGCTCAGTCTGCTCGGCCCGCGGTCCGGGGCCTGGGAACCATTGTCTCACACGTCGGGTCTGGCTTTTTCAGCTGTTTGAGGTAAGGGCCTTAAACCTGGCCCCTAGCTCTCCGTTGTGGCCAGAAGCAGAAATCAATGGAAAAAAATCTTAATGGCAGTGACTCACCTGTGTTAGTTAAGCTGATGTTTGCACTTTTATTGAAATAAAGCTCAGCTGAAAGTACAAAGAAAACATACAAAATGTGAATCTTCTTTTTTCCTTCCCTGGAAGTGAGGTCTAAACAAGTCACCAACTAAGTTGATAGGAAATGGATCATTGACTGTTAAAAAACCAGAAGTTAAAATGTTTGACATGTCTTTGGAATAAATGATATTATTGTAGTCAAGAAACAAGATACTTTGAAGCTCACGTAAGGTCATTTTTTTCTTAGTGGAATTAAGTTTTCTACGCTGGCCACTCCTGTTTGGAAGTTTGTAAAAACAGACTAAAGACAAAGTCATTTTTAAAAAATTAAAAAAAATTTTTATTTATTTTTAGAGAGAAGAAGGGAGGGGGAGAGAGAGGGAGGGAAACATCCAGGTGTGGGTGCCTCTCGTGCGCCCCCTACTGGGGACCTGGCCCACAGCCCAGGCCTGTGCCATGAGTGGGAATCCAGCCGGCAGACCTTTGGTTTGCAGGCTGGTGCTCAGTCCACTGAGCCACACCGGACAGGCCAGGTTTGTTTGTTTGGTTTTTTTTTTTTTAAAGAATAACTTGAGCCCTGGCTGGGGTGCTCAGTGGGTTGGAGCATCGTCCCATACACGAAAGTGCTGTGGGGTCAGGGCATATTCTAGGTTGTGGGTTCAATCCCTGGTCAGGGTGTGTACGGGAGGCAACCGATCAAGGTTTCTCTCTCACACCGATGTTCACTCAGCGAGGAGCCGGCACCCACCCCTGAGTCCGCAGACGGCGAGGGGAGCAGTAGCAGGGGCGGGGGCTTCACTGTGGGAAAGGGGCTCCTGTGTGCCCGGCGGCGGCCGTGGTGCGGGGAGCCAGCGGCGGGCTGCAGAGAAACGGGGCGTCTCCACGGCTGCAGAGTGGGGTTGGGGCGCACGCGGCTCCCTCTGGCTGGTCCTGGGTCCTGATGCGAAGGTAAGACGCGCGGGGGCTGCAGCCGCCGCCGGGCCCCCACTGCCTGGGGCCAGTCGCTGCAGAGGCGGCTCTGTTGCCACGGGTGCGCTGTCCGCTGTCCGTCTGCGCGCCCGCTCCCGCTGCCCCGCGCCGTGTCCGTTGTCTGTCGTTACAGAGGGGCCACAGCATGGGCCTCTGTCCCCCGGACTCAGCGGTTTCAAACAGTAGCCTTCACTCCACTCGGGGGGAAGCCTGCAGGTTGGCACGTTGGGCTGGGCTGCGCTGGAGGTCACCCTGGTCCCGGTGGACATCACGTACCCTATGAGCAGGTGATGGACAGAAGGAGGAACCAGGAAGAGGCCTCAGGCCAGAGGACTGGGAGCGGCCGGCAGGCACCTGGGCCGCCCGGCTGTCCTGCGTCAGTGCTTGTGCTCCAGCCAGCGGCTGGGTGGGCCCCGCGTGGCAGCGGCGAGGGCCAGGGCGCCCTGGGTGCCAGCCTGCTCCAAGCCCTGCTTGCACGTCTGTTAACGCGCTATCGGTCAAAGCGAGTCACGTGGTGGGGCCCGGAAAGGGAATGGGGTCCCGCAGAACTGGCCGGCAGAGGTGGCGGGCGGCCGCGCCCTCCCCCCGGCCCAGGACCCTGCGCTGTGCCCGCCCCGCCCCCACGGCGTGGCCCGCCTCGGTTGCGCAGGCGAGTGCTGGGTGTCCTGGGGACGGCGGTGGTTCGGTGGTTCTCCCGGAGGGGCCGCGTCCTGACCGCTCTTCAGACGAGGCCTGAGCCCGGGGTCCAGACCTTGTGAATGCACAGGTCACGTGTTCACAATGAGCTCGCCAGGCTGCTCTTCTGCAGCACACGTGTGCGTTTTCCACGGCCCAGGTCGCCTGGAGGCAGATGTTTCGGTGAGAGAGTTTGTGTCCTGCGGGTCCTCGGTGCGGCCCCGCCCCGCATTAAATCCCCTGGTCCCTGCGGCACAGCCTCCCTTCGCTGCTTCTCGAGTCCCCCTCTTTCTTCCTTAGGAGCCTTTAGGTGGCGACTGTTGTGTGCAGGCTATACTTTCCCCTCGCATCAAAGCCCATTACAGTAACTGCCACTGTCTCTTTATGGCCCTTACAATGAAGGCATCATGACGCAGAGCTTTGGGGCACATTTAGGCCCAGCAGGTGTGTGCCTTTGGGAAGATGTCATCGCGCTCTGTGTACACAGCAGTGCGTGAGGCTGACTGGAAGGGGCCAGCTGCCTCGGCTGTGACAGCACCCTATTGTGACAACCCTGAAGTGCTTTATTGCCCCTGAAATGCCCACTCAAGGAGGGGGCAGGCGTCGTGTTAAGAACTGGTACCGGGTTTAACCCTCTGTAACAGAAGGAGGCGTCGTGGGGTGCAAGTAGAAACACAAAAAGAAACGGAGCAATAAACAAGTAATACAAAAAAGTCCGCCCTCTGTTTTCTTACACTGTTCTGTTTTGTTATAATCCTCTCAGTGTTTG